GGGGCCTGCCGTGCCCAGGGCCCCCTCCTGAGCCAGGCGGCTGGAGGACTTGTGACCCTGCGCCTCCGGCTGCCAGCACATGGACAGACTCTCCGTCCTGGACTAGCCCCTGTGATGCCCCTCAGTTGGATCGAGACTCTTCGACTTCACGGCGACTCTCCCTCCCTGACCAGGTTCTCTCTGCGTTTGGGAAACTGCAGGAGGACGTCAGGGAAACAGGATGCCGGGAAGAACACAGAGAAGTAAGCATAGCACGGCCCACGGTGCGCTCGGCCCAGCTCCCAGGAGATGACCAGGAGGTGACCAGCTCACGCTCCCAGCTCCGTAATTCCACCTTCTCCGCAGTGACGACGTAGAACCTTTTAAATTATTTTTAAAGCCTTTAGTTAAAGTAATGTATCTACTGCTAAATAATAACTATCAAAGGCTGCATTTCCCAAACGGGGGTTTTTCATTTCTGGTGTGAACTGGACGTGTTATTTTTCTCAAGGATGTATTTTTGTTACCAGACGGGGCCACTTTTATTTCATTCAAGTCAAGTGGGCATGGGTAATAAAACAAAAATAAAAACAGAGGGGAACAGAGCGGCTAGTTTTATTTTTTTAATCCCATCATTTTGGGGGAAGAAAATAGATCAACTTTCTCTCGCTGCCCCTTCAGCCACTCCCATCAAATTACTCTTTCTATAATGATTGTAATGCAGACGTACGTATAAATGTATACATCATATACACGGTCACATGTATTTTCGCCAAAATGTGGTTAAGCTACATCTTCTGCAACTTGGTTTTTTGTCACTTAGCACAACTTTTGTCAGTGACCCCCTTCCTGCTGGGTTCCACAGGCAACTCACTTCTTGGTTCCAATACCAGCTCTGACTTCTCCCAGCTGTGTGATGTTGTGGAAGTTAATAACCTCTCTGTGCCTCTTCCGCAACGTGTAGATGATGACAACATCGCCTACTTTACAAAGTGTGGAGTGAGTTAAATGAGATCATGTGCTCAGAAAAATGGCAAGTGCTCAGAAAAAAAAGTTCCCTCTTTACCTGGATCTCCGTTGTCTGTGAAGAGTTGAGGACAATTCCACTGCACGGCTACCCCATGCTCTGCCGTGGAAATCTAACTTCTACGAGTGTTTTCTCTCGTAAGCCACGGTACAGTGAATGCCCCTGTACTTACGTCTTTACTCATTCGTGCCACGATTTTGGAAGATAAATCTGTAGGGGAGAGATGGCTGGGTTACTCAGTGAAGGCGTTTTAAGTTCATGTACCTATTGACAAATGACCCTCAAAAAGGTCGTAGGGATTTTTATTCCTACCGACAGCAGGTGCGAGCTCATTTCTTTACTCTCTCCAGTTCTGAAGGTTACCGATCTTTTTGATTAGTGGGCAAAGATAAAGGCACAGCCACAGTGTCGTTTTCATTCAAGTTTCTTTAGTTATTATTGAGGTCAAATACTTTTCTTCTTTCAGTTTTAGAGGTCAAATAATTTTTAAGTTTTCCCCATCTGCGCAGTGCGTGTGCCTGCATAGCTCAGCGTGTGCAGTGCGTGTGTGTGTGCTCGACTTGGAGGGGCACTTGCTGTGCTGCAGCATTTACAGTTTGCCCGCTTAGACTGTGTGAGTAACACTTTCTCCCAGGCTGTCATGTACGTATTTATGCTTTGGTTTATTTATGCTTTTCATGTGGAGCTTTTCGTGGTAGAGTTCTGTTTTGCTTTTTTAATTTTTAGGTGGTCCAATCTGCCAAATTTTTCTTTTTTGGCTTCAGGGTTTGGCGCCAGACTTAGAAAGGCCTTCCCCACCCCGAGATGTAGAGACAAAAAGATGGAGACTGAGTTACCGACTTCTGCCCCACCTGGCCTGTGAGGCTACCTGTGTGAGACTGTCTGTAAGGCTGTACCGGAGAAGGATGACGGCTCGGATTGTATGTAAAACTAAACAGTCTTACGTGTGTACACACCTCCATTGTCTTCCAATTTGTTAGCATTTTATATTTAATGCACAGAGCTTTTGTCCATCTGGAATTTGTCACCGTACACGGTGTGAAGTCGGTACCTAATTTTATCCTATTGCAAACGGCTAGTGATTTGTGCTGTGGTTCAAAGTGTCCTTGACCTCCAAGTGGCTCACCTGAAGGACGAAGGCTCAGTACGGCCTGGAAGAGGGGCTGGGAAGGGAGTGGTCTCTCCTCCCCTCTGCCCACCCTCCCTCCGCAGGTATTGCCCTCAGAGGCGACAGCAGGTGTCAGAGAGGCTCTCCCGCTCAGAGAGCAGGGGCCAGGCGGGTGACCGGCTGCCGAGGGGACCAGGAACACTCCATCACTGAGCGCGGCATTATGGGAACGTCAGCGCCTGAGCTACGATTACCCCTGGGACCACGGCAACTTACGTGCCCAGAGAAATCACTTTCCTGGAAGATGTATTTCAGGCAGCATGGAGGCTCCAGTGACTCTTATATCGTCTGTTCCCAGGTGTCTGTGAATTTACACATGCTGGTTCCCACAACAGAAAGAAATCTAATTATTGGTGGAATAACTTACAGGTAAGGGGACCTCCAGTGTGCACCCACCCTGGCTGTAAATCCTCAGAGCTGGATTCCCGGGAAAATGGCCTGGTGCTCAGACCAGGTCGCCTCGCAGGGCTGGCTCCCTTCCTCCCCCAGGTGCGGGCAGGAGAGCAGGTGGGCGAGAGAGGAACCGCGGGTATTCAGGGCCTGGAGAATGCAAAGAACATCGAAATGCCTGGGTTCTTCCTTCTGCCAATCACCAGGATGACTTCTGCCTCTGTTGAATGTCTCTCTGCAGTTTCCCTCCAAAGACAGTGGTGCACAAGTATCAAGTCACGTCCCAGGGACGGTGCTATGAGGTTTACATCCAAATCTCCAGTTTTCACAACAACGCTGGAAAGGAAGAATGAGTATTTCCATTTTTGTATGTGTTGAAACGAGATCAAAGAGGTTAAGGAAATTCGTCCAGAGTGACGTCACCAGGAGGTGGCAGAGCTGAAACTGAAGCCCTGGGGGGCCCACAGCTTGAGCGCTTTCCCAGCTGGGTGTGCAGAGGCCACAGGGTGTGTGTGCGGGGGGTGGGGTGGGGGTGGAAGCTCCGCTGGGACCCCCCGAGGCACCGGGGGGAGGTGCTTCCCGGGCCCTTCTCTCCCCGGGCCAGTGTGGCCCTGGCCCTGGTGACACACGCACGCTGCAAGGGCTGTGGCCTGGTCCACACGGCTGCCTGGCACTCCGCTCCAAGGGCTCCCGCCACACCAGAAACCAGGTCCCGCTGCAGCTGTGTATGCAGGAGGGGGGCCGCAGGCCTGCGCAAGCCTGGGGGCCACCCGCCAAGTGTCTACGCGGGCGAACCTGCTACTGCAAGCCGGCTGTTACGTCACGCAGGACGCTCTGTGCTCTCTCCGCCTTGACGAAGCACCTCCATGATAACAAGGCGTAACAAAATTAACAAAGTTGTGGCTTTTGTATGACTGGAAGTCTTCCATCAAAGACAAATGAATTTCATTGTTATTTTGTGTGTCTGGATGTTCCATTAAAGGGCGGGTGATATTTGGATAAATATTAAAATAAAGAACGCCATATTTCATGTATGATTTTATATTTATTTCATGTGTTCTTTGCATTCACTTCAGCAAAATCTCCAATATGTTCCCTTTCCCAAAATTTTATTCTATTGACAATAATCATCTCATAATTAAAAATCAAAATGTAATTGCATTCAAAGGGAATAACTGTGAATGCATCTTCATTTTCCAAAGACCTTTAAATCTATGGAAAAACTGGAAATAGTAAAACGATGATTCAATATGATTTCAGTAAAAAGTCATTTCTTCTAAAATATCTTAAATTGCTACAAAAGCTAAAAGGCAGAATATAAATCGTCATTTATGAATGTAAACTAATTTAATCAAAGGTGTTTAAATAAAGCTGAAACTTCTAAAATTAATTTCTTGAAAATGTCGATATTAGACCTTTTTATAAAAGTAGAACAGTCTGCAGTTCTATGACTCACTGCCCATCGAGCTGCCAATGTCAAGAACTGACGTCACGCTTCACACGTTTCCTGTCTTGAGCTGCATGTATGCAAATTTAACAGCGGTACGTTAACTGTGGTAAGACACGCTTCAGGACCCCCGTGCAAGGGTTGTGAAGACTGTGTTCATTCTTATCTCTGGAACCAGCAGCTGGAACATGAAGGGAAGCAAGAAAATGAGCGTTCGGCACTGCTGAGAAACAGTCACTTGTTATACAAGAATCAACTGCATCCCAGCTGAGAGCAAGGATTTGACAAGTTAATTAATTTGCCTTTTCTCTCACCCCAGCACCTCTCCCGCTCAGATCCTCCTGCTCTCTGAAGCGGTGTCTGCCTCTGCCGGTGCTGGAAACGTCCCGCACACCAGCTTCCTGGTACTGGAGGCAGTTTTCCAGGACATCAGCCAAGAGGTGTGCAGATGGGTTTCCCTGGGGCCTGGGCCCTGGTCTGCAGGGCTACAGGTTGTTGGGGCCCCCTGAGCTCCAGATTCCAAGTGTCAGGGGTGTGTGTGTGTGTGGTGTGTGTGTGAAAGAGAGGGGGAGAGAGAGATCCACGGCCCCCCAAAGTATAAAGCCTGGAGCCAAGGACCCTCTATTCAGATTCTCGGGTGGGAGGGGGTACAGGAAAAAAGAAGGTTTAAAGGAGTGTCAGGATCCCCCAGACCAGTCCCCAGGAAGACTCACAGGACTCAATGCATAGCCCTCCTCATGGCTACGATTTATCACTGCAAAAGGGAACAAGGAAAAATTAGCAAAGACGAAGGTGCCTGGGTGAAGCCCAGAGCAAAGCAGGCGCGCACTTCCCAGGCCCCCCAGTGGAGTCACGCAGGACACACTTCACCCCCCGCGACGCCTCGTGACGGCGCACATGAGCGCCGTCTATCCGGGCGGGAGCTCATCGGAGACTCAGCGCCCGTGACTCTGCCTGGGGGCCCCCCTGCCTGCAGGCACTGAAATTCTGACTCCCAGCAGGACAGCAGGTGCTCGGCAGGAGCCGTGCTGTTTGGACGGTTTAGGCAGAGTGAGCCCTTCCTACCAGGGAATGGTGGGGGCCCTTCGGAACCCCAAGCTCCCACGCCAGCCAAGGGACAACCTTGCAAGCGGGGTTCTAAGCAGAGCAATAAGTCTTTTCTCCGTAGGAAGTAACTGGGGTGAAAGGTGGCAGGAAGGGAGTCCCCTACATTTCACCCGCCCTTCAGTTCCTCTTAAGGTGAGAGCTGGGAGCGGCTTGAGCAGCGTGGGAGTCGGACCAGCTTCCTGCCTCATGCAGATCAATCCAGGGGTCATGTGGGGTCTGCCGTGTTCATTTCACCCGGCATAACTACCCCCCCTTGTACACATACACCGTAACTGAGCACCCAGTTTCTGGAAGATATTAACAGTGGAACAGCAGTTCTAGAAGCTCATTTTCAAGCAAATCTAAACAACATGCTGTTCAGGGCCGTCACAGGTGGTTAAGCTATCTTTAAATGTAAAGGAATTCGAGACACTTCTTACCCGAGGAGGGGGAGAGGGAGGCAGGGACGGGAATCAGAGAGGAGGGCACCGTGCTCGGTGATGCTCTTAAGATGGGGTAAGTAAGCTCACAGGTCCGTCTTATAATTACGGTTTATAACTTCCTTTGTTTGAATAAGTTATGATTACATATTCACATGTATCAAAAATGCATACTAAAAACATTTTCATTTTTTCAAATGTACCATCTGGGCAACAATAAGGGCTCCTTTCTGACTGTAGCCGGAGGTGACAGGAGATTCCCAGCGCTGGTCACCCTGGAAACCAAAAGACATTGTAATTTAACTGACACGGAAACCCGCGCTCATCCTGCCGACAGCAGGCTTGATGTCCGCTTACTGCTGGCTGGTCAGAAGCCATCCTGGTTTGCTCACTGAGGATCTCATTTTTGTGAATCAGTTTGATTTTTATGACTCTGCGTTTCATTGTTTATTTCAATTTTTACGCGAATGACATGGTTTTGTTTTCAGTATATTTGTTCTGATAGTTACATTCTATGTACGATGTGATGTTGGTTTTCTGTTTATGGCACAGATGCAGGGCTTCCTTTTAAAATAAGTCTGTCCAACTAACATATGGGACAAATTAAATAGAACTGTGATCAAGTCAAAGTGGTA